TAATGTATAATTGAAAAGTATACAAAAATATGCGGGGCCATGGTAACAGTCCATCCCCTGCAGTGCTGAGGGCTCCGATAGTAAATACACCCCCCATTTTCCTCCTGCTCTTGGCTCTGTCCCCATCAGGCTCATCTCAGATGAGAGTGCTAGGGGTTCCCAGCCATCTGTGTGAAGAGTTAACTCTCATGCCGTACACCAACATAAATTCAAGTGTTAAATATAAAAAACAAAACTATGGCCAAAATAAAATATAGGCAAACATTTTTTTGCTCTAGGGTAGCAAAGGAGTTTTCTACCCATAAAGGTAAATAAAGAAAATATTAAAGGCACAATGTGATAAATTTGACTACCTCTAAAACTCTTAACTATAATGCAAAATAAATTACCATTTAAGGAAGGAAAAGGTAGATAACAAAATAAAGGGAAGTCTTGGTAAGATATGTACTTGCAACCATTATGAAAAAGAACACTTACATATAAAATTAACAGAACACATTCTAAAAATTTATAAAATGAGTATGTGAAATAATGTATAGTTGGCTCTCCACATCTGTGGGTTGTATACCTGTGGATTCAACTAAACATGGATCAAAAATATTTGGGAAAAAAAGCATCTGTACTAAACATGTACAGACATTTACCCTTGTCATTGTTCTCTAAAGAACCTAGTGTAACAACTATTTACATAGCATGTTAATTATAAATAGGTAATTATAGGTATTAGGTATTATAAATAATCTAGAAATGATTTAAAGGTTATATGCAAATACTAAACTGTTTTGTAAACAGGACTTGAGAATCCTTGGATTTTGGTGTCCACGGAGGTCCTGGAATCAGTCTATCATAGATACTAAGGGATATCTACACACACATATTAAATTATCTTGACAATTTTTTTACTACCTGTTAATGGACAATGATCATATCAGTATTAGAGCAAAAATAAAACAAAATGCATGTATAGAGTATTAAATAGATTGTCAAACACATAAAAATGTGATGTTATATTATTTTTATACCAAATTTTATATATTGATTTTTTTCCTTTAAAATATATCCCCAACTAAAGGAACATATTTACATGAATGGTTCAAATTTTCAATAAAAGAAAATTGAAATAAGACCCAAATTCTCAACAAATTTCCTATGACATGCCTTCCTATCATATTTAGAGTAAAAGTCAAAGTCCTTATTTTGATCTCTGGGGTCTGTGGCATCTTCTCTCACTCTCACTTGGTCTTTCAGCTTCAGCCACACAGACCTCTCAGCTGTTCTATGCAATGTGGAGTTCCCTCCACACCCAAGGGAACTGTAGTCTCTGAGAGAAAAGAGAATGGCAGACTGCTCACTCCCTTTAGATCCTAGGTCAACTCACCTTCTTAGTGGGATTTTCTCTGTCTACTCTGTCTAAAATTTCATCTCATTTTCCCATCAATCACCTCCTTCTGTATTTTTCTCTTATATAGTATCTCTATCAAACATAAGGTTTTCTTTAGTTTCTTGTGTTTATATTCTCCACTAGAAAGTAAGCTCTGGTGGAAGGAGCTTTAGCATTTTGTTTACAATTCATTATCATTGTATAAAAAGTGTCTGGGACATAGTAGGCTCTTGATAAGTACATGTGTAGTGAGTGCCTAGAAAGGAATGCCTAGAAAATATGATGCTGAAATGCTAACGGTTTGCCATCACCTTTGCCACAAGGCGAAGGACATGCTACCTAGTTCTCCATTTATGCTTCTCAGTATTTCCTAAAGATAACAATAATGATATTCACATCCTATTGCTTTGAACCTTGTCTCTTCACAAAATTTAATTCATTTAGTGCTTGCTTCAGCAGCACATATACTAAAACTGGAATGATACAGAGAAGATTACCCCCTTGTGCAAGATGCCCCCTGCACAAGGATGACACACAAATTTGTGAAGCATTCCATATTTAAAAAAAAATGTAATTCATTTACTATTTAACAACTCTGTGAGTTGTTTTTTTACCCCTATTTTATAGATGAGGAATTGAGGGTAAGTAGCTTATCCACTATGTTAAAGCTAATTCCTTGATGGAACTTGTATGAGATAGGTCACCTGAATCAAAACCCTAACTTGTCACCATTAAGCTGTAGCGTTTGGGAGGTCTAAGAAAAGATGAAATACTAATAGGCAGATGTGATCCAAAGGCAATGAGGAAATGGTAACAGATTTCAGCACAGAGTAAAATGATCAGATTGACATTTTACAGAAATTACCCTCGCTGGAGAGTGGAAAGTGGAAGTTCAGGAGCAGGCTGGAGTCAGGAAGTGAATAGGCTATTGCAGTAAGACAGATGATAAAATATGAAGCTTATTCTAGTCAGTAAGAGATGAT